TATATTTTAGTTGTCCGATTAATTTCTTTCTATTTTTAGTAGAGACGGGGTCTCACTCTTGCTCAGGCTGGTCTCGAACTCCTCAGCTCTAGCGACCCTCCCGCCTCGGCCTCCCAGAGTGCTAGGATTACAGGCGTGAGCCACCGCGCCCGGCCTAGGTTTCTTAATAGAAGCTCCAATCAGTTTTCCTATGCTAAATTTAAAAATTGCAATATATTTTTCTCATCAAAAAATAATTGCCTTTAATGCTATTAAAATCTATCATACTCAAGATACTCTATAATTTCGAGAATACTGTGAAGTTAACATTTGGAGGCTAGAAGCGTGGTTTCAGCAATGCTTTAGGAACACTCAGCACCTCTCCTTCAACATTACCTGGGCTTGACACAGTTTTACATCCCTTCTTAATTAGTTTATAGAGAGAGACTTGCTTCAAGTCATGTACCCATGTAATAATAGTTCTTGTTGCCATATTTAGAAGACTATGTCCAACATAAATTCCACTCCCAAATCTTTCTTGTAATGAACCTCCATGGATATAATGAGTTCTTTGGAAGAAAGGCATTGTGTAAATTAAAAATACTAATGAGTCATAATGATAATGAATTATTTTCCTTATTACTGGGAGCAGAACTAACCTTGGGCAAATTTTCCAGTAGCTGAAGGTGCCTTCCCTACACCTACGCCTGCCCTCCCCTGAGATACTCTAAAATATCTCTCTTCCTTTTCTTCTCTCATCAAAACCCTTCATCCCACGAATGTCCCTGATATTAGCTAGGAAGTCTTGGAGGAAAGAAAGTTACTGAACTAGTTCGTATGAATGACTGAGATTCCCCATTAACCACTTCCAATCATGCCCACCCTGCATCTTTCCAGAGACATTCTTATTTAAAAAGGTAGCTGATTATCCTAGGAGAACTGGCGGACTTCCTAGCTAACATGAGCTAAGGGTCTTAGGAATTGTTTGGTTACAAGTAACAGGAGCCCACTCAAGCAGATTAAACAAAAATAATTTATCAATGGGTTACGCCGGCAGCCCTCGTAGAACTCAATGGCAGAGGCACAGCTGGGCTGTGGGAAGGAGGGGACAGAAGCGCTGCCAGCAGCTGCAGTAAACTTCTGTTTCTCTGGGCCTGCTGTCCACAGACTCATCACACTGCTTCCTTCTCTGCCCCACTCTGGAGGCAGCGTCTCTGCTCGTCCGTGCATGTGGGTCAGATATGGCTGCCACTTCGTCCGCCTGTCCTCCAGTCAAGGGTCCCATTCCCACAGCCTTGTGGGCGGGTTTGACTGGCAGGGTTTGGATCAGGCATCACCCCTGGCTCAGTCCATCTACCTACAGGGTTAAGGCCTCATGGGACTGACACGATGTGTGGCCCAGGGCAAAGACTCAGGTGTTTGTGGGTGTTATAAACAGGATGTGTGCAGGGCGTGTCGCCAAAAGACATCTACACCAGGCTGACGAGTTTTTTTTTTTTTTTTTTGCCTAATTTGGTGGGGAACCTGGAGCGTTGAAGGAATTTGGGGGCAGGAGAGTGACATGGGCTCACGGATAAATGACAGGTCCCTGGCTGGATCTGTGTGAGCCAGGCAAGGAGTGACCAGCACCGTGTCCACTGAGGGAACAATGACTTACGAACACTGGGCTATATTCCTTCTCCCTTGGCACTGGTCGGTGCTCAATGTGGTTTAATGACTCAAGGAAATGGAGATTTGCCATCAGTTTTCCACTTTGTGTGGGCTTGCTGGGACTTCAAATAAGTCACCAGACCTCTCTGGGATTCTCTAATTCAAATTCTTTTAGAAACAGACACACACACACACCTTACATAGACACATATCTTACTTATATATTAGCAGAGTATTCCATTTGATGGCCTGAAAAAGAAGGACCTCAAAAGTCATGCTGGGAGGTCGGAGGATTATAAATTGCTTGTAGCTGGAAAGAGAGCCGCTCATCTTCTCAGGGAGGAGCAGTGCCTGCTGGCTGGGAAGGTTCTACATGTCTGGTGACCCAGGAGGCTAGAAGAGAACAGAAACATACACTGTCTCACCTGGGAGGTAGGTGCCCTTTTTGTGGACTTGGGAAAAGGGAGGTCTTTAAAAGATCTGAAAGCCCTATTGCTAGAAACTGCTGGTTCTCTAGGTTTTTTTTTTTTTTTAAAAGCACCTAGCACCTGGCTGTGCCGTGGAAGAGAGAGTATTAATATTTGGCAGGGAGGAGTGGTCCAGCTAAACCTCCTGCAGGTGACTGTGTTAACGTCCAAATTGATACAGGTGTATTCTCACAGAGGATGGAGCGGAAAACAAAAGCCTCCAACACCTCCCGGGTGGGGAGGAGGTGCAGGGGGCTCACCCCAGCTCTCCCCAACCCAAGGAGAGAGAGGAGTTGCCCGCGGCAGGCGCAGGAGCCAGCCCAGCGCCAGCTTTCCTTTCCCTCACTGGAAGGAATCATTTGTGACAATCCGTCAGGGCAGGCTGGCGGGGCAGACCGCTTTTGGCAGAAGTCCTTTCTACTTCTCGCAAATTAAAGCCACCAGCAGCGAATACAAAGTGTCCAAGATCACTGGATGGAGGTTAACAGCTGTTAGTGACCCAGGGTTCAGGAGACTTTAAAAATCCACAAATACGAACAAGGCGGGCCCCGCCAAATAAATTGGGATGTGAACAACGAAGAAGGCTGTCTGGGATGAAAGTTGCAACTCAGAATTACGAGTGATAATAAGGCGATAGCATGACAGAACCGGGCTGCCCAGAGAACATTCCAGTCCTCACAGGACATGCACACGTTTTTATTTCACCACGAAACCGTCTGATCCTATGAGGTGGGCTGGCCAGCTATTATCTCCCTTCCACAAGTAAAAGTTAAAAAACCAAAGCCAAAAGTGCTACCGTGTTTGCTGAGGGTCACGCTGCTCGTGGGTGCCGGAGCCAGGGTCAGATGCAGGTCCCTGGCTCCACCCGCGGTGCGCTTTCTGGGATGCAGGCTGCGTGGGAGGCAGGAACTGAGGCATGGCCCACTGCCTGCCGCTTTAGACCGGTCCCTTGATTCTCGCCTCACTTTGGGGTAAGCGGCTTTACACCTCCCCCTTTTTTAAACACAAGATAACACGTGTTCATCGTTTAAAAAAATACAAATATGTATAAGAAGAACGTAGAAATGATAATTCCATCATTCAGACATTTAACATTTTAGTGCACCAAAGTATTAATATCATCCTTGCACACATTCTCTCTGCATTTTGACATCTTTGCTCACAGAAATGGAATTGTGCTGCTCCCTCTGTTTCTGGAGCTTCTCAATTCCGTATATATGTTATGAATGTCTTTCCATGTCAAATACACTTCAACGACAATTTTCTCATTCCATTAAAATGTTATATGTATATTTCTTGATTGCAGAAATAACCATAAAATTATATGCTCATTGTAAAAATATTCAAATCCAAATAGTACAGAAATGTATAGCCGAGGAGGTAAAAGTTTTACTTAATGCCACCCTTGAGACATAAGCAGTATTGCTAAATTTCATATTTATATTTTTCTATGCACAGTGTAGACATATATATATATTTTCCTTCTACGAAGTGGACTGATATACTATTTTGCAGTTTCCTTTTTCCCTCCCGGAACCCCGGGGGGGGGAACGCCTTTCCCCCCAACAAAACAAGCCCCAAAGCAACCCTCCGCCCAGCCGGGGGAAAAAAAAAAACCGCCCGCCAAAACCAAAAAAAACCAAGAGCAACCCGGCGAATGGAAAACCCCCCGGAAGAAGGAAGCCCAACCAACCCAAGCCCCGAATGCCCCCCTGGGGGGGGCGGGTGCAGGTGGCCAGGCCCCACATCACCACCCTCAGGGATCCCTGAGTGGGGTTCCTGTGGGACTCCGCCTGCCAGGACGCTTTCTGCCTCGCAGGTGTGTGCGTTCTCACGACTGGCCTGATCCCTGCGCTGGAGAAGGAACACAACCCCAGAGCACTGTGTTCATCTGTGGGATATCTTGAGAGTAACGGGCTTTGCTCCTGCTGGGAAATCAGTGGGGCTGTTCTGTCCACACCCGCGGGGAGAACCCAGTTATGTCAGGGGCTAAACAGAGGTGGAACGTGCCGAGAGCCACGTCCAAGACCTCAGCCCTCTCTAAAGGGCCCCAGCTGCCCTGGGAGACAGGGGAGGGAGGACTCTGAAGGTGAGGGCGGCTGGCTGCTCAGGGTGGTGGCTGCACCTTCCGGGGCCCATCCTGCTCAGATGGGAAGGGACAGGCTAATGGGGCCTATTCTCACCCAGTGGGTTTAAATGACGTGAATCGGAGAAATCAGGAAGAAGGCGGTTTATGTAGCTGCCTGCTCCCTGCTGTAGGGGGAAAAATAATGACACTCTCCCCCGAAAGATGTCCATGTCCTCATCCCTGGAGCCTGTGAGTATGTCACCTTTACCTGACAAAAGGGGCTTGGCAGATGTGATTCAGCTAAGGATCTTGGGAAGAGTCTGATTCTCCGGGTGGGCTCAGTATCATCGCAAGGTCCTTCCTTGCAAGAAGGAGCCAAGAGGGCCAGAGTCAGAGAGGTGATGGTGGAAGCAGAGGTCGGAGTGTGTGGCCGTGAGCCAGGACTGCCGGCTGCCTGTTGGAGCTGGAGAAGGCAGGGAACGGATTCTCCTCTGAAGCCTGTAGCAGGGACACGGCTCTGCTGACACCCGGATTTTAGCCCCATGAGCCCCATCTCAGACTTCTGACTTCCAGAACTGTAAGAGGAAACATCTGTGTTGTTTTAAGCTACTAAGTTCATGGACATTTGTCACAACAGCAACAAGAAAACTGACACACTGCTCCACAGGTAGAGAAGAATGGGAGGGCGCCACGAGCTTTTGTTTGCAAATCTCTATTCCGTTTATTGTAGATAACAGTCTGCTCAGGAGGAATGTCGATTCAGAAATTGAATACCGATGATCTGCAGTCAGAAAGAGGAGCATTTAATGGAACTATGGTCTATGCATAAAACAAGGTAAGTAAGGTGGTTTTCTGAAGACTGCATTTTATTAAGGTGCCACGTAGGTTCTTTTCCAAGGAAGCCTTACTCTGGGCTGCACGTTAACAGGACCTTAGAAGTTCACAGCAGCACCGGATAATATTCCCTGAGCAAGAGAGCATCCCCCTCTCCATCAGGAGCTCCGGGTGGGCCTTCAGCACCATCCTGGGAGGAGCCTCAAAAGCTGCCATTTCCCTTCTCCGTGTTTCCTCAGACCCACACAGAGGTGGTGGAAGCTGGTGATCACCAAGACAGGAGCCCACAGGGGTGTCCGTTGCCCTGCAGCTCAGAGGGAATGAGGACGGCAGATCTCCCCACACCCCGATCCTGCGGGCAGCCCCACCCCTGGGCACTGGCTAGACGGATGCTGCAGACACAGCTCTGGGCTCCCCGGGCTCACTGCGAAGGGCATGACATTCAATTTTGAAGAACTGAAAGAGCAAGAGTCCAGATCTCATGCCCATTCTTCGCAGAGAGTGGAGTTATATAGGTCGAACATCCCTAATCTGAAATCCGAAATGTCCTGAAATCCGAAAAGTTTTGAGCACCGACATGATGTCCCAAGTGGAAAACTCCACACCTTTGATTTCTGATGGTTCAACGTACACCAACTTTGTTTCATGCACAAGGTTATTAAAAATATTGTATAAAATTACCTTCAGGCTATGTGTATAGTGTGTACATGAAACATACATTCTGCATTTAGACTTGGGATTTCATTATGTATATGAAAATATTCCAAAATCCCCCACCAAAAAAAATCGGAAGTCCCAAACACTTCTGGGCCTAACAATTCAGACAAGAGACACTCAACGGTACTGCCCTATCTCAGCTTATTACAGATATATTTAAAAGCCTACTTTGTATAATGTCCCATTTACAGTTCTTGCCTTAAATTCACCCGTTTGGGCACCCACATCGTCTGCGAAGGCAGCGCCAGCAGCTGCCCCGTGGGTGCTGTGTGTTTCCGAGCAGGCCTGTCCGGCTCTCTGCCCACCTCCACCTCTGCCACCTGTGTGCCCTGGGTGTGCCTCAGTTTTGCTCCCTGACCCCAGACCAAATCCTGGTGGATGACTTCTCGTGGCTCCAAATCCTGACATTTGAAAAAGCCGTAATTCTTTACAGTTTTCCCAGAGGCCCCGGGAATAAGCCAACCACTCATCATAAATACAGCCGAGATGGGAGTCTTTGCAAAGCGTGACCAAACTGCCCCGGGTTGGGCCATAGCCTGAATGCAGCTGAGGTTTGATTTGAGGGGTGAGAAGTATTGAATGATGTTTGTTTATGACTGATGTGTTCTCTAAGTGTCTCCAGTACGTTTGCGGGACTCCCTGGAAGGCAGGAGTGCATGCCCATGTTCGGCGAACACCCGCTCAGTGCCAGCGCGTGCTGGGAGCCCGAGTACAACAGCGAGCGGGGCAGTTAACGCCCCTGCCCCTGCTGAGCAGCAGACACTGTGGGTGAAGGAGATCTGGGTGCCGAGGGGACGTAGTTTCACTGGGGTGGGGCCGTCCCCAATCAGGTGCGGTCTGCTGTTCCTTCCTCTCCAAGGTGTTTGCTTCCTGTGGAGGGGGCGGACCTAGTGCCGGGTCCTACCCAGACCTTGGGGAAAGGGCGATTCCAGAGGGAGGGGCGGTCAAAGGGCCGCACACCCTGCGGAATCCATGGGCTGGGCAGTGGCTTGTCCGTGGGCCTGCTGCCAGCGCCCTGCCTCGCACCTGAGGGCGCCTTCTCCCTCCTGCTCACCCCTCGCTCCTGTCCGGAGCCAGCAGGTGGTCCTGGGGGAGCAGGGGCCCAAGCGCACCTGGCCATCCATTTCTCTTCCATGCGTCCTGGCTGGGCCGACGCCCCGGGTGTGTCGTAGCCTTTAATTGCTGAGCTGCACCAGGGGAGGCTCGGGCTGCGCGTGCTCAGAGAGCTTGGCTGCGCAGTTCTCACTTCCTCGTGGGAGCCGCGCTCGGCTCCACCTGTCCACGCTTTCAGTTCCAGCAGGCCGTGGGGAGCCCCTTGGACTCCCGACTACTGCATTCTGACAGCCCCAACATCAACTCGTATACTTACAAAATCCCGCTAGCAACCGGCCCTGGATCTGTCACCTGGGCTAAGGTGCAGTTTACCATCCGTGTCCCCAGGTTGGGGAGCAACACTCAGGTGCAGACCACTTGTCTGTGGCTGTAGAGGCCGGGGCATGCGGACGATTGTCTCCGAGTGCTCCAGCAGAAGGCTTCAAATTCCTTTTTTTTGCTCATTGGTATATCCTAATTTTTCCACAGTAAGTACTGTTTCTGCAAAAAGAAAAAAAATGTTTATTTTAAATTTAAAAAAGGAGGGCCTTAGAGTCTCTAAAATTTGATGGTCTCAGTAAGGCTCTTAAATCTTGTTTTCTCTGGTTTCTTTCCTCTCCTTGGCTTCACAAGAGAACTATTTTGTTTCCCAATGTGCTCACTTCCGAGACACTGTGTTCCCTGAGGTCTGCGGGGAAACGGGGAAACGGGGGTGTAGCCTGCAGCCAGGGTGCATGGATGCATCCCTCCTCAGGCCACCAGGCAGGCCCAGGCTGGGTGCCACCTGTGGAGCAGGGCTAGGCTGGGGGCCACACCAGGCAAGAGCATCTCTCTGCAGCCCGGGGGCGCAGGGGTGCAGAGGGAGAGAGAGGCAGAGAAGCTTGGCAGAGGAAGCGAAAAAATTCCTTCCCCTCTTACTATACTCCTCCCTAAAAAGAAGAAAATGCTAAAATGATCCAAGAAACCAACAGCCAGGAACCTCTGAGAGGTTAGGCTCGGTTGGGGGAGATTGGCACCCAGGAGGCGGAGCCCTGGGGTTTGGTCCCCTGGGGCCTCAGTGTGGGGCCCCTCAGTGTGGGCCCGTGACAGCCACTGTCAGGATGGGCAGGGGGCTCTGTGGGGACTCTGCTAGGGGAGCTGGTCTGGGTGCTGGCATCTGGAGCCCGGGGACATGGGGACCCAACGCACTGCACTCTTAGGCTCTGCCGGGCAACACTTTCCACCAGGCAACGTCTCAGGGGCTTCATAGTGAGGTTCTTTGGAATCAGTTCTGAACAGCTTGGAGAAGTGTGATTTCAGGTAGAAAGAGAGCAGTGTATGATTGATCCTCTTTCGTTTTTGATCCTTGCTTTGGAATCAGAAAGAAGTCAACCACATGAGGTCCCTTCCACAGCGGATGCTGAGCTACCCCAGCTGCTCTTGGTCCCCCAGGTATGAGCCGTCCCTGCAGGGCTCCGGGCCAGGCTGGGGGGCCCTGTCCTCTGCAGCAGCCGTGCAGCCCAGCGGCCTCGTCTTCCAAGGTGGCTTCCTCCCTGGCTCTGCAGGCAGGGACACAGGGCTGGGGCACAGCCCGGCCTTGGGGGTGCACCCTGCCTCCCGAAACCCAGACAGGACTGTCCCCCCTTTCTCCGGGGCTGCGCTCGGCTTCGTGGGCGAGATGCTTCCTCTGTCCGTTGGGGTTGGCTTATGGAAGTGCTGCACCCCTGATTTTGCCCCCTCCTTCCATTGATCTTTCTGAGCTTGAAGGCTTGTGATGACCCTGTCAACAAAGGCCTGGGCAGGGCCATCCTGTGGGGTCGGGGTGGAGGCAGCTCCTACACTGGGGGCAAAGGACAGTCTGGGCAGTTTATCACACAGCAACGCCAAGGGGGCGACTGTGGCCCTGCTTCTCCGCTCTTGGGAGTCTATCTCAGCGGACTCCCAAGGGAGCAAGCTACGAGAGGAGGTTGTGTAAGAGTGGATGCCGTTAGAGGAGAACACTTGACCTTGGGCAGAAACCAGGCTCTTCTCTCTGGTTCTTTCCTCCGTTCTTGATGAGAACCACCCTTGCTTGGGTTATTAGGAAGCGCTGGTGACCCCTGGGTGGCCACAAGGATGGTTGTGCCCCTTCCCATTGGTCACCCACATGTGGCCCCTCCCCCAGCCTGGCCGCCACCTGCCACTTCCCAAACTACCACTCAGCTGTGACCCAGGCCTGAAGACACCTGCGAATCCAAGGCTCGGCCCCGACCTCTCTTCTCCACTAGGCCTCCCTCCGGGAGCACTTCACATACTGATCCTCAGTGCTGAATCCATGTGGGACCCTTGAGGGTGGGGATGGTGTCGAACACCCGGTGTGGGGGGGCCCTGCCACTTCCTTCCCCGCAGGTGGCAGTTCAATGACTGACTGGGGCCTCAGCGGCAATAGGGACTGGGCGCATCTACGCTGCCACGGTTCACACACCTTCATTGTTCCCTCTCACTTTTAGTTCAGAATCCAGTTTCTACATATTGGCCTCTTGCTAGAACATACTCCTCGCTGGCTGAAGAGGAGAAACTCATGGAGATCCTGAAACAGCTGGCTCAGAGATTTAACTAGGCCAGGCCAGGCCCAGCATGAGCCAGAGTCACCATAGAAGACACCGGAAGGTGTGGTCCAGGGGCCAGGGAACAGACCCCACTTCAACTTCTCCAGGTGCCTACAAGGAATGGAAACTTTTCCTTTAAAATAAATAGTACTGGGGCCACGAACAAGCTGACCTTGATCTTCTGCAGCAGGTTCTTTTCTCGTTTAAGTCTCTTCCTTATTTGAGAATGTGGTTTTCTAAAAATTTGTTTTAAGATTAACCAACCTTGTCAGACTGAGGGGCCGCAGGGGTGGGGCGAAGAATGAACACCCTCCCTGTGGACTCTCCCTCCTCTCCCTTTCTCGATGCCTCCAGCCTCCAGGGCTGGCCGCCACGCAGCCCTGCGCCGAGGAGAGGCTGTGCACTGCCATTGCCGCTGCGTCCCCAGGAGCACAGCATGGCCAAGGGGCGAAGCGTATTTACATAAACAATTTAAATGAGGCTGCGTTCACATTTGCTGAGGATCGGGAGTGGCTTCAATAATGCACCTGGCATTCCGGCACTACACTCTGCTAAAACCTCTAAATTACACCATTTTACCTCTTAGTGACTTTAGGGACAGCTGCAACAAAACCGACAAGCAGATTTCGAATACCTCTACACACGTTCTTGGTGTTCAGGGTGAAATAACCGTAACTCGTCGCCCACACCAGAGGAAAACTCAGATGGTGCAGCTTCTTGGCGGTCCTTGAGACGCCCGGGATCCAAGGACCCCAGGCTCAGGACTTCTCTGGGCACGCCTGCCTGAAGCATCAGTGTCCACCTGACGGAAGGAGGCCCTGCTGAGCGAGCCCAGGCTGCTTGTCTGCAGGAGGAGGACGGCCTGGGCTTGGGGCTGCCCTGCCAGCCCCCACTGGCTGTTCCACAGCATGAGGGCCACTTGGTTTCTTTGCACCTATTTTCTTCTCCATAAAATGGCCCTCTTTTTGAAAGAGGCTTTCCCTGGCTGTATTTGCCCTGAAGTCCTTTCTCCTCATTTGGAGAGTTTATTAAACACAGAAAAAGCAGACACATGAAACATAAAGAAAATAAAAAGCCCTCCGTGGCCACAGCCCCTGTGTTGCGTGTGCGCAGTCTGTGCTGAACGGTGGCTCACCTTCATCTCCCGACGGTGGCTCTCCCTGAGGTCTAGGCAGCTGGGCGGAGTGGTCTGGAAACTCCCCCCGCCCGCCCCCCGCATCCCCAACCGGACAGAACCCACAGGGGAAACACCAAAGCAGGGCTGTTGGCGTGTGTGTGGTCACGTATAACAACAACGATGGCACCAGAGTTTCAGGAAGGTTTTCACAGAGATTTATTTAAGCCATGGAGGTGACTCTGCATTGAGTTGGCCACTGGTAATGGCGACACGCACGTTTTGGTCAGAGGGAAGCACAGGGGGAGAGAGCAGAGTGGACACATTCATGACATTCAGCAGCATTTGAACGTAGGACGGGCTACAGGCATGTCAACATCACAGGAAGTTCTTGCTCATCATCCCCAATCACATTCAGGAAGTCAATGTCAAGACTGGTTGGTCTTGTTGGTGGGATTGTGGCAGGGAGCCTGGCAGAGGCCAGTGGGGTTCAGCTGGGGCCACACTGGAGAAATCTGTCCCAACGCCAGGCTAACCACGTTCTCAGCCTGACCCCACGGGGGAGAATCTCCTCATTTCAGAAACAGAAAGAGATATCTGTACGGTAACATGCCGTCTGCAGCCAGGTCCAGATGTGGGCCGCAGCCCGGTGGGTGCACAGGATGGAAGAGTCCGGGTCCCTGGATATGAACAGAGTGGTAGGTAGGCACAGATGTGGGGCCAGCACCTTCCCTGTTGTCCAGTTATTAACAGTTTTTGTACTTTTCATACAGAATTTTTTTTTGCAAAACGACAGTACCTTGAAACACAAAGTCATTTAAAAAGCAAGGCAAGTGGTATAAGATACAAACATAAAAGTCTAATGGCTAACATGGCACTAGTGTTTTGGTCCATTCTTCATACCGCGTATGCTATGGACATAAGGCTGCATTTAAATGATAAAAAGTGTATATAAGTGAAATACTTTTTTTAAAACCATTTTCCCTTTTTGTGAGTTATAGATCACCTTCTCTATCCTCCCAGAGAACCAAGGAAAATAAAAGAAAGAATCATAAATGTCAAGGTCACTTCTGAGTCTAACTTCTGAACCAACCTGCAGTTCCCTGTCGCGTCCTCTCCCAAGAAAGCCAGGTACTCTTGACTCAGAAAGGTGGCTATTTTGAGGTATCTATTTTTAATGAGATGGTACCGTGATGAATTTCCACCTTCACCATCTTTTTCTAAAACCAAACCTACTAGACTCTAGATGGAAAAATCCAGAAAGCAACTCAGTTGATCCAGCCGAAGACAACAAAGGCACGGTGATACGGGCCCTGCCGAAGGTTTAGGCTATTCCAACAGTAAGATTCACGGAATCACAGAATCACAGGATTGGAAGGGACCTTTAGAACGATAGTGGAATTCATCCCTCCCTCCAGGCTTTAATCTCCTTTCCAACGTCTCTTACCAGAGGCTATTTGCTGTCTGTAAATTCCCTGGCATGGGAAGTGCAAGGGAGGGATCCCATTCCAGTTTAGGATAGATCTAATTTTTAGACACTGCTTTCATGTGTTAGACCTAAACAGGCTGCTTGGTGGAAAGGATAGTGTTTAATAAAGGCAAAAATACAAACTAAAACCCCCGAGGGTTGGTATGTGGTTCTTGGTTGTAAAGCTGAGCTTTTTTAAACACGAGCACAAATATTTCTGAATTCAGTTCTGGATATATACTTGGGTCCTGAAAGAAAAAGGCAAATGATGCAATAGCAAGAAATAGCTGCCGCCAAGCCCCGCTATGGGGTGCTCCGGCCTCAACAGGGCCGGCTCTCCCAGGCAGTAGCTGCCTGAGCCCTTTCTACTGTAACCGAATTGAGAAATAGCGTTCCTTTTGCTTGGCGAGTGCCACTGTGACCAGGATTTGCCACACTGTACTGAAATGATCTGTTACTTGTGAGAGCAGGAAGCGGAGGCAGTAGCTGCCCCCGTCTGTACCCAAACACGGGTGCTGCCTGCCAGCGCAAAGCCACGTGCAACTAGGACAGTCCTCTCCTGCCATGGTCCTGGTCTTGCCTTTCCCAAAGCGGAACAGCTGAGCCCTGTCCACCCACGGCATTAGTCTGTGAGTCCTGCAGGCCACGGGCCGTGCATGTCATGGTCTCCAGCTCTAGTGAGAGGCTGTGCAGCCACAAAGTTGGAAAATCAGTTACTGTGGGTCATTTTCAGATAACGATTATGGGGATTTCCAAAGAAAAAGAAACTGATACTGGCACTAGCTACAGGGTGAGCCTCCGAGTCCCCTCGTGGTGAACTGCGGGCTGCCAGCCTCCCTTTGGGGCCATGGAGCATCCGCAGCCGACAGCGAGAGCTCCGGCTCCAGGACCGCAGCCTCGCGGTGTCCTCTGGCAACTCCGACCCACTTGTGGTCCCTGCACACACCACACTGACGCCGGCACTCAGGCCTTTGTTTACCCTGTTTCTGCAGCCTAGGAAGTCGTTTCCTTTTTTCCCCCTTACGACTCACTCATCCTTTAATGCTCAGCTCAGAAGTCCTGTCCCCTGAGAAGCCCCTCCTGCCCCACCTGCTGGGTCAAGGTACCCCGGGCAGCTCCTGGGTCAGATAGGGGTGGGATCCCAAGCTCACCTCCATCAGTAAACTAATCACATCCCACTGAGATGATCTGTTTGCTCTGTGCGCGGCCTCTGCCCAGCCTGGGAATGGGCCTCAGAGATTTTGTAACCCCAGTGCCTAGTTCAAAGCCTGGTGTATGGGGGGGCTCTCCACAAACGGCGGACTTGCACTACAATCTCAAGGACCATCTAGACAACTCAGTGTTCAAAATGGACTTCATTTCGGTGTTTTCTGATGGAGTTAATAAATATCCACTTTCACACTAGGAAAAATTTAACATTAAAGGAGGGAAAAATAAGAATGTTTTGGCAAAGTACTTTCTTTCCCTTTAAGATATAAATTTTAGTGAATGAGAGCATTTACATATGTATAATCAAACTACTGTGAAAAGGCATAACCAAAGGAATCTCATCTAATGAATATTTATGTCCAGGAACTGTGATCCAGTTTAGAGCTACCCTTTTGCTTAAAAACCAAAATTTGGGCCTTAAGAATTGACTACTGTTACGCAAAAATAAATTTTACTTTTAAAAAATGAACCTCAGGCTGGGCATGGTGGGTCACACCTGTGATCCCAGCACTTTGGGAGGCTGAGGCGGGAGGATGTCTTGAGATGAGGAGTTTGTGACCAGCCTGGGCAACACAGTGAGACCCTGTCTCCCCTGTCTCTACAAAAAAATTTTAAAAATAGGGAGGTGTGGTTGTGCACCTCTGTAGTCCCAGCTACTCGGGAGGCTGAGGCAGGAAGATCACTTGAGCCCAGGCGTTCAATGTTGCAGTGAGCTATGATTGTGCAACCACACTCCTTCCTGGACAACAGAGCAACACCTTGTCTCAAAAAAACAAAAAGCAAACGAACAAATAAAACAAGTCAGAAGACGGAAAGGTGATGTTCATACGGGCAAATGCTGTCGGCCCAGAGCCTTGCTCATACCACACCAGCGCTCACACGAATAGGGTGCGGTGCATTTCCGGTGCCCTGAATTTCCACTTAAAGTTTGCTGCTGGGGTGGTTTGTGAAGAAGTGCGTAGGAAGAAGTTTATGTGGATGAAGAACTACAACAATGACCTCCGTGTATGGTACCCACCCCCTCGTAACTACAGGGCTGGGGCCGAAAGAAGCGCCAAATACACTTATCATGTGGAACAAACCTGGTTTCAGAGACTTCCCGTCTCGCGGCGCTGGGAGTCACTGTTCCCACGCATGCCATTACCACGTAACGTTAAAAAACAGCTGTTCCTGGAATGTTCTTTTAGATTCTCCTGTTTATACCTCAGCTACATCTAACTGCCCGGTATGATTAAAGTGTTTTCTACTTGGAACACTCTGGATCTCTGAAGATCCCTTCCAGGTTTTGTGATTTCATGATTCTTTGAATAATTCGAACAAATGAGAACTACGTTATGGTTGATTGATCTCACGTAAAATGACACGCGATTCCAAGTACTTAATCTCAAACCATTTTTGCTACGGTGGAAACATGCCCAGGCAGCTGAAGGCTCCAGTAATCGTCATTCCTTTGGAGAGACCAAGAGCATGTGACTGGTTTCCTCCTACCAAACAGAGAACAGCTCCGTGCATGACACGTGTGGTTTTGCTACTTTCCCAACATAGTCATGTTAGGTATTATTTGCCAGAGCTGCTGGATGTTTAAGTTATAAAGCAAAAATATATGTAAAGTGAAAATCCCATAGGGTAAAATAAGAACGATGACGGTTCACCTTGACAGGAGAAAAGCCAGGTGCTGGTGCCAGCTTCTACTCCTAAGGAATGGAGGCTCCATTTCCATAAAATGCTTGGGAGACACCCAACATCAGCACATTATTTCTTGAGTTACAAAAATGGTGGAGACACTTAATGCAAAACTTGGGAATTCACAGTATTACAAACACATACAGTTGGTTTGCTAAACTTTTTTTTTACCAAATTTAAGCACCCACACAGATCAGGAGAAAGAAAAGGGCAGAGCAATGAATAGCTTAACAAATCTGTGGTTTTTGATCATGATTCTCATCACCAATGAGGTGGCAAGTGGTTTCACCCTCTGAGCGGCTCTGTGGCTGGGCTACAGCAATGCTGGGAGGGAGATGGCTAGAGTAGCAGGTCACAAGCCAGAGCGACTAAAGTGGGCACGTGTGATCTAACGGGGGCAGTCGGCTTCCTGAATGAGGTCTGAACTTACCTAGCCCCAACTCAGAATCCACGCAAGGCCTGCTCCAGGGAGCTGGGGCCTCCGCCACCCTAATACTGTGTTTCCCTCTTTGTATACAGGCTAAGCTCCCAAGCTCAGGGAGGGAGAGCAGAGGTTCATTTCTACTACTCATTTCCAACACACAGTCCTCTACTACGTACAACTTAGTGAGTGGCTGCAGGTTCTAGGAATAAACTACAAAATAAGTATTTGGATGTTTTAAATTTAATTCCCTTTTTAAAGCTCTCTCATAGAACAATCACAAAGAAAAGACTCACAGTAGTTAGAACAGTCTTGACTGAGGGAAGCAAGGGCGGTTTGGGCAAAGGCAGCAAAGTGACAAGTGGTTGCAGCGCCCGTGTGTGCGTGCGCGTGCGTGCGCATGCATGCGTGCGACCTCAGAGTTCTGGTCACGTGGGCTGATCTGGTCTGATGCGTCAGGTGACGGCTGCCATGTACCGTGGCTGCACGGGATGCATGTACTGGCCCTTCCTCCCCGTGCTGGGGAGCAGCACCGTCCCCAGGAAGCCCATCCCCAGGAAGCACGCTTGCTTGGTGTTAGGGGTGGTATCCGAGGATGGCTTGTCGTACTTCCCCCAGTTAGAAAAGCAATGAATGATCGTGAGGGAATAAAACCGAATTCCAGGAAAAGAGGAAAAATAACAGGGAGGATTTCAATTTTCACCCAACTATACTACCAAAAAACTGTCACATTGGACGTGAACAAGATACCGTGGAGGTAGGGCTTGGACCAGGAAGGGCCAGCAATTGGCCTGTGTGTCTGCAAGGCTTTATTCAACCTGGTGACCCTCAGCGACTGGGGGTCCCTGGATGATCCTGGCCAGTAAGGATGGAAAGAGGGGGTCCACGTAAAGTGCTTAGGACAGGGCAGGCACCTGGCACAGGGTTGCTGCTAATTTTATTTTTACAGGTGAAAATCCGATTTTTTAAAAAGGACCTCGATATCCTGAGTTGAGTCACTACACAGAAGAATATTCCATTTTACCAAGTTTGGTTGGATTCTCTCAGAAATAAGCATTCTTCAGGTTCATTTTCTGAAGTCCTCCTTTACATTCCCAACAGAAACACAGCAGGAGCTGTAGGATTCAGTACCTTTCTGTCTCAGATCACACGCAGTTTTAGCATAAAAGTGTGCAAAGTATTCTGATGCAATACGTTAAGATACGAATGTTTAAATATCTAGTTCTTAAAGGACAGAAAATACAGAAGGCGAGGAATAGAGCAGGATTACAATCTTGTATGTTCAAGTTTAGAGATGATGTCACACAGAAAAACACATCTTAAAGACGCTTATTTTTGAAGCACGTAGGGTTTTGTGTGTGCGTATTGTTTGTTTTTAATGCTATGAGGCAGGGAGAGCTGTGTCAAAAAAACTAAAACGTAAAAGGCTCAGGAGGCTCCAACTGAATTCTAAATGATCCAGGCACTGAGAGTCGAAGCTCTGAGTCACAACAATCTCCTTCTGTGAGGATGGTGGCTCGGGAGTAGCTTTCTCACGGCATTTTTTTTTAGCGTGGGAAAGCCAGAGGAAACCGAGGCAGAAACACAAGGTCGTTTCTCAATAAGCACACGAACGAGTCAGACATCGCACACAGATCATTCCTCAGGTGATTCAAGAAGTCAGTTGGTGAAGCCACACAAATGGTTTTCCAACTCTCTCCACTGAAGAGGACATGAAGACAGAAGTGCTGAGAATAAACATGTAAAAACATAGATGCTCCAGGGAAAAGCAGAGAAGGTGCAGGTAGATGCAGAGAGAAGAGAAGAAAGAGATGCTGGCCACGTGACACACACTGAAGTGAAGAAAACATGGAAACTACTTTATGATGACCAAAGTACCCTGAACACATACTTCCCTCATTTCTCAGACACACAAAGCAATAAGTAAAATAGTGTTGAAAAACATAAAAACTAAACACTCCACATAGATTTTTCAGTATACTCAAAACAGTGTCGCACAGCCAGAATGTATAAACCATTTGCTAAAAAAATATCTTCTTTTATATTGTATGAACGGGTCGAAGAGTCCTCTTGCAAGTATTCACTCACGAGGTCACCGCTGTGCGCGTCGGCCATCTGCAAATCCATCCAGGGTCTTTAGTTTCTCTCTCACTTCTCACCGGTCTGCTTTTCCTCTCCAGTCATGACTCGGATTGGAACAACCGTTTCCTAGTAAACGCTGTCTTGCTGAGTCCCGCGAGGGTCATCATGACACCACTGGGGTCATGTCCCACAACTGCACAGAGGAAAAGAAGATACAGAGTGAACTAAAAGTCATTGTGTTGGAGATAACAATCCTTATAACTGAATTCTTCAAGTGAATTTCTTCTCATTTAAGAAGCAACTGCATAGTATACTAACATGATTCCCAAATCTATAAAATATTTTTTTCATCAGAAAGTTCAACGTAAAGCGCAAAAACATGACAATGGCAGCTTGAGATTTTGATCCACCTAAGAGTATAAAGGCAGATTAGATCCACTTAAGGGGGAAGGGAGCTTACATGAATCAGACACTAAGCATGTGCTGTGTCCTTTTCATATCTTCTCATTTCATCTTCCAGATAATTCTACAGGATGTCCAATTTTCAAAAATGAAAAAAATTGAGGCTCCCGGGGCTTACTTTAAACTTGCTCAAAGCCACAGAGGTCTGGTGGATTCCAAAGTGGGTTACTTTAACCACCTCATCCTGCTGCTGTCTGTCGCTAGGGACAGGACCGGACTGGGTCAGGAAGGCAGACTTGTATGTTGGGCAAGCTTGTGCCTCTCTGTTTCTCATGGTCCCTTCTGTCCTGGGTCACTGCCACTGAATCTGTGTGGTCTACTGCAGTCCTCAGAGAGGCCCTGGATGAATGCTTTTGGATTAATTGATCTCACTGGGAAAAGGCCTTGTTCATTACCTGTTGGCTTATTCAAGTCCTGCCTTTCATCCATGTTCAGCTTAATCCCACCTCCCTTGTGAAGCCTTCTCTGCCAGCACCATCCCCTGCTGCTGAAATTTTAAGATAATTCTCATCTATGTTACTCTCCTGGCTGCTACACATGTGACCTATTATTTTTTTTTTTTTAAGAGTATGTCCCAAGTAGACTATCCATTCCTTGCAGGGTAGAGCCAGGTCTTATTTCTTTGTATAGAGCCAGTGCCTGCCATGAGGCTGTGCATATATTAAATAATAGGTTCTCAAAAATGCTCACCTCCAAGGATAACCTTTTGAGCAGTGCCTCACATGTTCTTGGTGCCCACCAAAGATAAAAAGCTTTTTAATAAGATGGTGTCTTACCTTAATAACCTTGTCAGTTCCAGAAGTCAGTAACCATCCTCTGGTTGCATCAAAATGCACATGCACAATGTTATGTTTACTGTCATGGAAAGTAGCCGTGGGTGCACGTCTGGAAGGAGCAAAGAAAGTTTCCAAGAGTGAAAGATGGTGACATGAATGGAGCAGGTCTAGGATGACGTTATGTTCTAATTTTTAGCCTAGTGGCTAAAACTGCTTCAGTGTGAGAAATGCTCCTCAGATCTAGCTTCATTCCCTGGCAACATGTTATGATTAAAAAAAAAAAAAAAGTAAAAGGATTCTTAAAGTCTCCAAAATGGAAAAGAGATGAAATCTCTAAAAGTCCTTCTGGAGAATGTGTTGCTCTAATGGAGTCTGTGAAAATCTCTTACCTGTGCTTTTGAGAAATCTTTTAAAAACCACAGTGCTTTTGCTAAGTTTGAGCTCAGAAGGACTTGCCAGTAAAATAGTCTATCTTTGCCTATTTAATTATAAAAAAAAGATGTGCTTGATAAAATGCCTATGATACTACTAATTGTTATTCTAATTGGAAGGCCATCCACATCCTTCCTTCAGTGGTGGAACTGCAGACTCAGTTTCTCTGTAGTATTCCAAAGCTTTAACAAGCAAAACGAAACATAAACAAACATCATTATTTGCTTTGCATTCTTCAATCTATGTGGTTTTGTTTTAGTAAGAAGGCTTGTCAACTGCTGAGATGCTCTAGGAGCAATGCAAGTGCTTCCACCAAGAAGAGGCGGAAGATATGGTGCAGCAGGAAGGGGACAGGGACACAGCCACAGGGACCATGCTCTCTCATCATGCTTCCGGGGGTCCCACTAGGCTGCAGGGGGCTCTCTGAGGTGGTTTTCTTCTTCCTTTTTTCCATAACTAAATTTGTAAGACAGATCTTTAGTATACTAAAAATGGTCACTTTAAATTTTTCGAATTAAACATTTAGGCTTAATTTGCAGGCCCCTTAAGACTCCCTGGATATGTGTCTTTATAAAATGAAGAATTAAACTAGAATATCTCTAAGGTCTCTTGCAGTTCTCTAATTCAATGAAAAGAACTCTTATTAATTTCATCATGTATGATGAGTGGAAAATAATCAATGTACGTAAATGCTTACTTACACAAGGGCATCTTAATTTATATTTTATATGGAAAAATAAGAATACTTAAAATGATTTTACTGTAATTCAAGGTGCTGGGAGGATTGGGAAGACAAATTACCTAGGCGATGCTCCTATAACTCACTAAAAGGGAAACTTGTTGCAGAATATTCTGTTTATATCTGGGGGCAGCTTTCAATTACCCAACACAAAAGAGACAACACAGATTTGTCCCACCCTCCAAAGTACACGAGGTGCAGTAAGCTAAGGCCCGAGGCTACTGGGCAGGTCTCATCAGCCCAATCAGTGGTTGGGCAACTGGGGATGTTTGTCTCTTAGGGAAAGTGGCTTAGCTCTTCCCAGAAAATGAAACCTTCTAGAACCCGAAGGCTGATCCAACTCCTGCAAAGATACTAGCTTGGTCCAGACAGTAAACACTGGGCCCCTGCACTCCTGGGTAATTCTCAAGTAAATGAGCAGACAGAAGGGTTTGCTTCGAGAGCATCTCTTTTCAATACACATATCTCTGGGATTAGGAAGAGCAGAGATGAATTCTTTGAACATATTTTCTCTTGTATGTCGCAAGATAACACAAATCTCTTGGCGGCAAAGGCTGGCTTTTACCACTTGCCATGATCTATGCTCTATCCCAGCAGGAACGAGAACAATCTGAGTCATGGCGGGGGCGCAGCCCTCAGATTAGATTCTCTCCTTAACTTGGAGTGTTGTGTGCAGGTGCTGGAACTTACTCTTCATCTGTGATGGCCTCGTGGCAGCTGTCGCAGACCCTCACTTCAAACTCGAAGCCCATCAGAGGGATGGAGGAGCGCTTGGAGCTGCACTTGCCGCACACGGCCTTCCCGCACTTGCGGCAATGGTGCTGTGGGGGGAGAAAACAGACACTCGACGTGGCCCCTGTGCCTCACCCCCTCCCGCAGACACTGGCAGGGTCACCAGGTGAAGATGCTGAGCGAGCGTGTCCCAGAAAGCTGAAAGGCACACAGCACGTGTCTCTCGTCTGGGGCCCTGTTATTCAGAATGGGGGCTGTCGGGAAACACCTGTGACTGGGCTGCCTCCCCCACTCTGGGTCTTTTCCAGAGGAACCACCCAGCGGCCAGGTGACCTTACAGCTGGGTGCACTGAGGAAGTGCCATCTTAGGGGTGACACTGCTGGATAAAGGAGAACATGGATAAAACCAGAGTCAATCCAAGGACTACACTTTGGCCATGCTCAACTTAGGTGACCTCCCATTTGATTTCCCTGGGGAAGAACAAACCGAACTATGGAATTAGATTGAAAATGCTGTATTATAAGTAGACATAAATAATTCAAACTAAATCAGAAGGAGAGAAAGTAAAATAATTAAGGAGAAATAAATACCACTTACATAATTTCATGGTTTGGCTATGCATGATACCCCTAATTTTAAGGTGTGTTTCAATAGATGCCACTAGAATTCTAAAATCGGATCCCTTTAGCTACTTATTGGGAACAAATCACTGCAGAAACTGAACCTAGAAGGAACGAGCTACAGTAGACAAAGGGAGTAAATTAATGTGTGCTCACACGGCAACCGCAGGATAATAATTTACCCCACCATGACTCCCGCCCAGAGGTGCCATTTCTTCCAAGATCACGTGGTTATTTACACACAATTACATTTTGATGGAGCATCCGTGTCACTCACCTGTCGTAGGCCAATTTTCTTACTGTCCCACATTTGCTTGAAGTTCCAGAAGAAAGGCTGATCACACTTTTGGCAGGAATCACTGTCCAACCACTCAGGGGTCTTGTCAAATAAAGCAGAACGGGTCACAGTGAGAAGCAGTGAGGACAATGGAACCACTGACCCTGGTGAAACTTACAGAATCAGGATGCGTTTATAAGAAGCAGAGGTGTGGTTTCTCAATGATTCAAAAAATATTTACTGAATGCCTATTATTCGTCCGGCCCTGGGGATGGGATGTAGCGGTGAATAAAAAGAATCTCTACCATCATGGAGCTCGTAACTTACCAGGGAAGACTAGATGTGAAAATATGATTAGTATTAATAATTATTTAAGTAAGTACAAGCGTGTGAAGGCCTAAGGAGAAGCACAGAGTGCTATCTATGGCAGAGGTATAGCAGGAGGCTCCGACCCAGGCTGGGGTTCTCTGACAGCTGAGACCTGGGGATGGGTGGGAGGAGGCGATGGCTGGCGTGCAGACAGGGGAACAGGGGCCAGGCCAGAGGCATTGGTCTTGACAGCCATGTTGAGGACGGAGCACTCTATCTCACGGTCTCCGATTGTGTGCAATTTTATCACTTCGATTGTGTACAACGATATCTATTGTGGACAAGGATATCAGTCTAATGATTGTGCACATCACACACACACACAGCCGCCTGTGTTGGAGCGATACAACTTGACTACAGTAAACACTCAGGGACTTGTGTACCGTCCACTCACAGCAGGGCTTCCCTGGGTTTGAGGCTCTGCTCCTTGCTTCATGAGTCACACAATATTCTGGCTTTGCTCACTCTTTCCTAGCCCCATCATGAGACTCTAAATTATGCCAGAAAGTGTGTCCAGCTTAAAGCTATTCTTTAGCAAATGTTTACAGATTATGTATACAGTGACTCTGCATTTGCTTCCAGAGTTCCATGTCCAAGTCTGTAGGATTCATCATTTGGCAAAGGAATTCATCTCTTTCCATACAGCACAGAACCCAGGGAACCTTGAAAAATACATCCAACTCCATGGTTGACCAAAAGTGAATTCTAGGGAACATTTGACTCATAGGACACTTATTATAAAGGAGGACTGACATCAAACAAGTTTGAGAAACATGGTAAACACAGCCCACCCCCTCTACAGAATCACAGTGGACAGGAGGACAGCAAAGGCTCTGGAAGTCCTTTTTCTGTTGATGTAATCCTTTTCTGAGGAACACCTGCTATGCAACAGATTTTGGGATTTAGCCTCTTCTACCTTTATGCAGAAATGAACCAAAAATTACACATTAAAAAAAAAAAGTAAAAAGGCAACATTTTAAGAGGTCTATTCTCCGTTTGTTTGTTTGTTTATTTTTAGAGTTAGGGTCTCACTGTGTCACCCAGGCTGTAGTGCAGTAGCACAATCATAGTTCATTTTAACCCCGAATTTCCTGGGCTCAAGTGATCCTCCTGCCTCAGCCTCCCGAATAGCTGGGACTACAGGCCCGTGCCACCACGCCCAACTATTTATTTCTTTAAAACCAGAGAAGTGAGCCTTGATTTACTTTGTAATTTTCATGCCCTATTCAGGTCAAAGGCAGATTTAATAAAGTAAAGTATCGATCTAAAGAAAATTTTACCCCTAAAAGACTTATGTATGCTATGATTTTTCTGAACATTTATGATGCAGGAAAATCAGGAAGATTTACAAAAAAAAGAAAAACCCCATAACCAAAAACTCACTGTTTACACAAATAAATCAAGTGATGTTTACAGTATATCATCAGATTGGGTTAACCAAGAACTTCTAGTGGACTGAAAAATCTGAATTAGGAACTTACTTCCCAGGGTAAAAAACATATTAATATGCTGCTCCTTGGAGAATGGAGGGGGCAGTATTAATGTTTGCTTATGGAATAATTTCTCAAATATCAGCTTTTTACCATTAAAATTAGGTAGTAGAAATTAATATGTAAAGACATGGAAAATGTTCAATATATAATAAACTAAAAAGGAAAAAACATAGGTTACATAACAGTAAATACAACACAAATTTAACAGAGACCAAAAGAAGATATTTACAAAGTCTATAACTAAAAGAGAGCCCCTGCAAACATCTATAATATATAAAGAACCACTGCAAATCAATAAGGAAATGATAGAAAACAACTGAAAAATTGGCAGAAGACACAGAAGATATGAGCATGTAATTCATAGACAGGGAAGCCTGAATGGCTAATGTATATGAAGAGGCTCAGATTTGCTGATGAGCAGAGAATGCCAATAAAAATGAGATAATATTTTACCCCTGTCTCCAAAAAGGCAAAAGCAGAAAGAGAGTAAGAATAACTGTTGCTGAGGATGTGGGGTATTAGGAAACTCCCTGTTGTCCTTGAGAAGTGTAAATGGATACAGCTGTTTGGTTATTTAGCAAAATCAAGAATATACCTTCAATCAATCCCACTCTTGGGTCTACAGCCCTGACAGAGTCTCACACAGGCCTGTGAGGGGACATGTACAAAAGGTCATCTGGGCGCTGTGTGTTGAAGTCCATGGCAATCTGTTCCCAAATCCTTTGCTTTGGGAACAGAGAAGTAAAATGTGACTTCTACACACTATGGGATGCTATGTAGAAGCACCCAAAAACACACACGGCAGGGTGGGGAGAGCTCAAAGAGGGTTCCATGGGAGAAGCTGGAAACAGACCAGACTTGTAGTACAACATCATTTATGGAAACTTTGAAACACACTCACACACTGAACACAAAGAAGCATGCATGTTTAAGACACCTATCAAATGCATCACAGTGGGTATCTATGAGGAGGGAATTGTGAGTAAAGACCAGGAAAGGGGAAAAAAATAAATCATCATGTGTAGTATGATTCCATTTTTTGTTAAAAAAATCTTACACACATGTGTATATGTAAAGAAAAACCTAAGGAAGGATGTTTGCCATCATGTTAAGGGTGGTATTTCTCGATGGTGGTATTATGAGCAATTGACATGTTTTCTATTTGCCAGTGAGCACTTGGTAAGTTTTCTACAAAGAACGTGTATTATATATAATATATGCTTAAAAATGATAAAAGTTTTAAAAAATGGATTTCATTGACTGTATAAACACTTGTTTCACTTACAGGATGTCGAACAATCTGCATTCAGCCACTCAAGGTCTTCCACCATCTGCCCTTATCTTTCAGATACCTCCCATCCTCTCATCTCCGACTGCATCTAAACTGCCATGAGCACTAATGCACTGCATGCGACCTTTCCCATTCACCTTGTCCTTGCTCTTGGCGTTTCTTGGCCTGCAAAGCCCACAATGCTTTGCCAGAGCACGTCCAGACTCTACCCATTTTCAGCACCATGTCCTTCCACAAACCCTTGCTAAGAACATTAGCCACGATAACATCCCTTCCAAAATACCCAGCACTTAGGTTCTATCTTACATCAACTGTACTTTTGCCATGTATACCATTTAATGGCATGCTGAAGTTTTCTCCTACATGGCTTTTCTTACAGAAAGTCTGTCAGTACTTCAGGTTAGGGACTGCTTCGTTATGTCTCAGACCTACCAAGGTGAGCGCCACACAGCACTTGTCATAACCAGGAAGCAGCTCCATAGAGACTGAGTTGCAAAAAAAAAAAATCTCAGATTTATGTTTATGAAATATGATACTTACAAAAAATGAATGGAACCATCTCCACTGCTTAGAGCTTTGACTCTCTCAACAAGATTTTAAATCAGTCAATAAGTATTGGGTGCCCATATAGCTGCATGTCCAGAGGCAGAATTTAAGCAAGATGCTCAAAAACTATACATCAACCGCTTGGTTTCATCTCTGGAAACCACATGGTTATCCTCCTGTGGGCTTCTGTCCATAAAGGGTGGAGGCTACTTGCACTGAGGGCAAAGAATCTGGTTGTTCTTCCTTTCCCTGGTTTGGTCAGTTAGGCCTGGAAAGAAGCCAAGACAGACCAGGTGTGACTGTCCCTAACTCAAAGCAGGCTAGCATGCAAAACCCAACCCAGGACACAATCACTGGTCCCACTGTTGCCTGGTTAGCACAACCAGGGGATCATTGTACCCATCCCCTGCCTATAAAGTGGACTTTTTAAAAAGCAATACTCTATAGTTCCCCACTTCCTAACAGTAATGATCAATTTAATTAGTTACTAATAGAACTCCCATGGATTTATGGTCTGAGCAAATAAAGCTTTAATCTTCCTAAGCATTTAATTACTGGCATTTGAACAGCATTACATTATGGGTAACAGCAACTACTCTCTTGAAATAAGACTCGAGTGAGGGTATGGAAAGAAGGTGCCTTTTCAAAGTGTTGCTTTTCTAATTCTTGCATTCTGCAAGAAATAAATTTGAAGAATGTATACCGTCAAAGGGAAGGTCTACCCAGAATAATTCTGGAGTAAGGGGAAAATGGTTAACTTCAAAGTACTTGTCAAAGGAGATATTCAATAAACATATCAGTTGTTAAGATGCTCAAAGATCAAAAAGAAAATCATAAAAAAAGAATTTAAAATATGTGCTTAAAAAAGACAAAAGTATAAAAATTTAACTATGTGTTTAAAAAAGACCAAATACATATTTATATCTGGGAAACTGTTTAGAATGTGATTCATGAAGAAGCACAAAAATAATTATTTCTAATAACTCTATTAATGCCAAACTATACATTCTTACTTCATCTTAGCCACCATTTTCCTCAATAGCATAAAGCACATGAGTTTTCTGGTTTTGTGGGGCATTTTATACCAAAGGGCTAATTGTCAGGAAATAGATGGTTCCTTTTTCTCACCTGCACTTTTGCTGTGAATGGTGTAACAGATTTAAAGTCTAAACAGCTTAGTCTCAGTCAAAATTCTTATGAAATCTCCATCACATTAATGTCGCATGCTAATTTGTGAGGGGTAAAAAAAATAGAAACTGTTTTTATGCTCTAATTTTTAATTCTCTGACATTACATGTCTTATTTCATGGCTTCATCATAAAGAAATAAGAAATAAGCAGGAGGGGAGGTGGAGCCAGAACCGCAGGACCCAACCTACCTCCTGCCTCTCCACGTCCATGTTCCAGACGACAATCCCACCGTCGCCGCCACAGGAGATGAGCTGCCGTGTGTGCTGTGCGTAGGAGAGGGCCTGGACTTTGTCACTGTGAAAGAAACCAAGGGTTTCAGGACAGCAAATGAAAGGCCTAAAGGCAGAAAGCTCAGCAAAATCAGCCAATGTGCACACTCACTCCTCCGCCCCAAGTGTAGATCTTAGAAACCCGACGGAATTTTCAACATGCTAATAATGATCTGTAGAATATCCAAGACTTAAAGTAAGTCTAAACGCTCCTTTAACATGCTCAGGCCCCAGGAGGAGGTGCTCTTTGCCAGTTATCAAATCTTAAGGGAAAAAGCTGATTGTTGAACTGGTTGCAACTCCTTACTGTTCCCTCCTTCCTTAAATAATGAAAATTTGTGGCACATGCTCACCTTATATTTGTTCAAGAGTCATGATCTTACTTTTTAAAAAATTATCCTTTAAGAGTTTTGGAGGGCATCCATCGACATGCCCTGTGGATTTTCCTGACAGAGGCAGGTACACTGTTGCCTGGGGTGTGCCCCTCCCGGGTGGCTTGAACCCAGGCGTGCCTTTTCTTGCCTCCCAGAGCAAATCCAAAGCATTTAATGGACTTGAATTTCACTGACTCTCTATTTCTCTGGCTTTTATTCCCTCTCTCCTGATTTTGTGTCTTATTTTTCTTCCTAGTTCATGCATGGCTGACAGGTTATTCCCTCTTGGTGGCAAAAATGATGGAGAGTTCAGTTTTATGGTCTGACAATTTGGCAATCGGTAACAATGGATTATAGAGATCTATTCTCTGCTGGGCAAGAGAGAACAGGGTATCTGGTTTCTTGGTCATTTTTGTTTGTATGTTTGTCTATTTTGAGCTCAAATCAATTAAGAATTTTGTGCCTACTGGGAAGAACAGTTCTGATATTTGGACTGGTGACTTTTTTGTGTTTCTGTGTTTACTTCAATGGCTGAAGTTGTAAAATGAAAGCTATTAAGCTCTTTGTGTCTATGTCTATTATCCAGAGAGCCCTTTACCTCTTGTTGTGTATGGAATGCTTTCCTATTTCCGGAGGGTGTTAATAAATTAGATTATAGCACCTTTTAAATTAAAAAAAAATTGTTCTGATTGACTTATAAACAAGTGCTTATATAAACTGAATACTCCATATATTCATAGAAAATAAGGAAATTGAACCTCTGATATTTTAAATGTACTAGACTTAAAATTAAAAATTCTTTTTATGGAAACTGCTAACGAACTCAGTAACATTTTAAGACTCCAAATTCATAAAATTAAATCTCATTTGGCAAATGAGACTAGTAGGATAGGTTTTAAAAAGCAGTTATATCTTTTTCTGATTTGTCAGTGTTAAGTATAAAACAAGTACACATTTTATTTCACGTGGGTTTATGTCTCCCAAATTTATTCAGGATAACTGGTCAAATAAGCTCATACTACCCTACACAATATTTCAGATTACTGAAAATATAAATTTGTGTTCAATTAAATTGAATATTCTGACAAACTTTTTATGTGAACAGTAATTATGTTTTGTAGCATGTCAACTTAAAGGTAATTTCTGAGGTCTCTAGGTAGCTTTAAATGGACTAATGTTAACTTGAGCTAATTGATAGATAATTGTTAGATAACTAGATAATTTCTAAGAAAGTTAGAATACTGTAAATTGGATTATAAAGTATAATATTAAGTTTATATATGTTTGCTTCTTATTTTTATATGCTATAGGAAGCTATCATTTTAGGTTGTGTCAATGAATGAGTTCATTTCTTGCTACTTTAAGGAGATGTAAAAGTGATGTATGTGGCAGTGGAAATTTCAGTTGTGTGTGTTCATGGGCTTTGCTAGTCTGCCAAAGTGCTTGCACGTGGCAGCTTTCAATTGTCAATATCCCACCTCTTTCCAATTTTCTCTAAGAAATGTAAGTTAGCCCCTTGGTTAATCATTATAATTAAAATGGGTGGTTGAGACTACACCACTTCCAATAATGAAAAAGAAATACAACTGTGTATGTACTTCTGTTTTTGAAAGAAAAAGAGAGTAGTTCTGACTTAAAACAGTGGTTCTAGAACTGTTTGGTCTCAGAATCCCTTTACACTCTCAAAACTTAATTGAGGACACAAAGAGCTTTGGTTTAAATAAGTGATAACTATTGATATTTATTGTATTTTAAATTAAAACTGAGAAATTTCAAAAATATTGACTCACTTGAAAATAGAAATGATTAAATCCCTTCCATTTTAACATAAATCACATATATTTTGTGAAAAATGTATTTTCCGAAACAAAAAAACTTTGATAAGAAAGATAAAAATAGTATCTCTGCAATCTTCTAACATCTGGCTTAACAGGAGAGCTGGATACTCATCTTTTTCTGCATTTATTATGATACCATTCATCATATAGTGGCTGGAAAACTCCACAGTATATTTTTGAGAGAATAAGGGTGAAAAAGGCAATCCTAAGGTATCAATTTGTTCTGGAATATGAAAGAGAGAAATGAAGGACAAAACTTGGAAAGTGAATTTTATTTGCTTTGGCTTAAAGTACATGAGTCTGAAAAAAAGCTATAAAATGCATTACAGTGTTGGCAAAGTTCCCTCAGATTTGACGGCTTGCTTCCTTAAGCTACTGATTAATGCCTTTGACTACAATGCAAAAAGGATGTTCTTTACCTTCTTTGGAACCTGCCTAGTTAGAAGAGATTCTGTGTCTCACCAGAATTATTTTCAGTGCTTTATGTTGACTTGATTAATGTCCTTGATTATTTAAGGACAAAAAAGGAATGAAGGGTCCTCGCTTGTGAAAATAGCTAAATTCCTTAAAATTGTGTTATTTTCTGTTTATTTTAAAGTGTTGTCTTGCTTTGATTATATAGATAACCAGGTATTGTTTTTTGAGCACCTGTGTGCCTATCTTACCCAAGGACCTAAAACTCCTCTGACAATTCTTTTGGTTTTGTCTTTCCAAATTGAATCCTCTATGTTGAAAAAATAAAATAAAATTTTAGGATGTGTTTTACACCTAAAACTCTCTTTAAGATTTCCCAGAGAGCTCTTGGAAAACCATAAAGATTTGTCCCTTCACCTTACAAAAAGAGAGATGCTATAAGTAATTGCATTTGTTCGATGTGTTATGATTGAAAGAGTGGCAGGGGAAGAGCTGTCAGATCAGAAGAGATGCTCAGCCTTCCGTAGGTCAAGTCAGGTTAAGTAGAATGTTGTTAATGTAAATATTTCAGATGTATGTTTTATTGGAAGACCATGGAGACTTGCCAACGTCATTATTGCCTATATTTTTACCCTCAGGGAAAATACTGAACAAAACTCTTAGGAAATAGTTATGTAGGGTACCCCAATAGAAAATGTTATTGTCTCCCATTCTGATATTATTGATCACGGTGACGGATTAACCATTAGGTCACTAAGTCTCCATAATCTACAGATAATTTTTATATGACTCCAATCCTTACCTGAAGGCTCTGCTATAGGCAGAGTTTTTGACTTCAATAAAGGACAGCCTCAGAGTTTCATGGAAAGGGACTGTAGGTACTAGGGATTTTAAAATTTTGATATTTCAAAGAGTAGACTCTTGGGCACAGGCTGCAGAGCTAACATTGCTTAGATAATTTTTAAGCTGTGCCAGTCGATTTCTGGACTCTTTTTAGTCTGGATGCAGATGGCTTCATGAATGTGGACTGCTAAACCGAGAGCCATCAGAACAAAATTAATTACAGTTCATTCACAGGACTGAATAAACCGAAGAGGGAAACTTCATTTTGGTTATTTGTCTGAAATACTGTTGATGTTTTAATGTTCTATTTTTCTGGACATACGAAGATGCCTTTTCTCTTACTTTTTAAGCTATCTCTAACCTACAATTTAGTAAACTCTGCTTGTATAAACTAAATCAAAACATTCAAAAATGATATTCAATTCTCAATGCCCAGAATTTAACAACTGTTTCCGAATCCCCTTAATTTTCACAGCAATATAGTTGTTTGCATAGATTCAATGAGAACCTATCCACACGCTGGAAGTGTGCAAATCAATTGTACAACGAAGCACTTACCTGGAATGTCATATTTGAGAATGATGCTCATTGAGTCAGGTATGACTGGCCACTTTAAGTACTCACAGAGCCAAGGCCTACAAAGGCCTCTCAGAAAAACTGGCCTAGTGCCTGGTTTGCAGGGTCCTGGCCTTACAGATACGGTAAGGAGGGTACCAGGCTAGGAACCTAGCAAATGTTGGAAACCTCAAGGAATTCAACCAAGGTTGTAAGTCTGGTAGTTGTGAAATATAGTGGAGAGTTTCTTGGGCTTTATTTCCTAGCCTTGGGATAGCAAATAACAGAAGCTTTGAAAAGTTCAATCCAAGATTCCTTATAAAAACTTCTAGGCAGAAGTTAATTTTGTGGGCTTAACAGTTGTTGAATACTGTGCGGCTCTAGATATGTATGCAAAGCAAATCCGAGAACACCTATATGGCTAATTAATACTCTTATAGTACCAATGTAAATAATTAGCCCAAACCTTGTGAGACCAGTCTTTTTTTGTGATCAAAGATAATCACTGAGATTATCGTGATCACAGGGAGGAAAGGGGGAAGAACTGTTGGGCAGACTGAAAGATTTGAAATGGGCAAAGAGTATATTTTCAGTGAAATATTAGATGTTGTCTAACACACCCTTCTGGCTCATCTGATTCTATAGGGGTCTACACCTTTCTGTATCTTTACCTAAGCTATTTTACAACGCCATAAGTTATAGAAAACTGATATTATTACAAACAAGTCTTGTCCTCTGGAGACATAACTAATCCCCACACCCCAGCCTGCCCATGGGAGAAGGCAGCTGTGCACCTGTTTACAAATTTTCATTCTCCCTTGTATACGTATGTGTCTCTTCTTTGGATTTTCCTTTGGACTGGCTGTAACATCTTGCTGGTTTCCTTATTAATTAATGACTAATATAAAATCTTTGACAAGTATTCATTGAGAAAAATCAACTGTTCTCTCACTCTCTCTCCTGGTTGTTATTTCATACCTAAAGCAGGCAGTGTTGCTATT